ATACGCAAAATTTTTGTTTGATATTATTTGTGTGTACCTTTTTAGGTCCAAATATTGGTCTTACTGGTCCAAAAGGTTATAGAGGAGAAGTTGATGCAAAAGGTGATATAGGAGAAGTTGATGAAAAAGGTGATAAAGGAGAGGTTGATGCAAAAGGAGAATTTGCAAAAAATATAGAAGAAGTTGCTGCAAAAGGTTATAGAGGAGAAGTTGCTGCAAAGGGTTATAAAGGAGAGGTTTCAAAAGGTTATAGAGGAGAAGTTGCTGCAAAAGGTTATAAAGGAGAAGTTTCTGCAAAAGAAAAGGTTATAAAGGAGAAGTTGCTGTAAAAGGTTATAAAGGAGAAGTTGCTGTAAAAGGTTATAAAGGAGAAGTTGCTGTAAAAGGTTATAAAGGAGAAGTTGCTGCAAAAGGTTATAAAGGCGAAGTTGCTGCAAAAGGTTATAAAGGCGAAGTTGCTGCAAAAAGTTACAAAGGCGAAGTTGATGCAAAAGGTTATAAAGGAGAAGTTTCTGCAAAAGGTTATAAAGGCGAAGTTGCTGCAAAAGGTTATAAAGGCGAAGTTGCTGCAAAAAGTTACAAAGGCGAAGTTGATGCAAAAGGTTATAAAGGAGAAGTTTCTGCAAAAGGTTATAAAGGCGAAGTTGCAGCAAAAGGTTATAAAGGAGAAGTTGCTGCAAAAGGTGATAAAGGCGAAGTTGATGCAAAAGGTTATAAAGGAGAAGTTTCTGCAAAAGGTTATAAAGGCGAAGTTGCAGCAAAAGGTTATTAAGGCGAAGTTGATGCAAAAGGTTATAAAGGAGAAGTTGCTGCAAAAGGTTATAAAGGCGAAGTTGCTGCAAAAGGTTATAAAGGCGAAGTTGCTGCAAAAAGTTACAAAGGCGAAGTTGATGCAAAAGGTTATAAAGGAGAAGTTTCTGCAAAAGGTTATAAAGGCGAAGTTGCAGCAAAAGGTTTTAAAGGAGAAGTTGCTGCAAAAGGTTATAAAGGAGAAGTTGCTGCAAAAGGTTATAAAGGAGAAGTTGCTGCAAAAGATTATAAAGGAGAAGTTGCTGCAAAAGGTTATATAGGAGAAGTTGCTGCAAAAGGTTATAAAGGAGAAGTTGCTGCAAAAGGTGATATAGGAAAAGTTGCTGCAAAAGGTTATAAAGGAGAAGTTGCAGCAAAAGGTTATAGAGGAGAAGTTGCTGCAAAAGGTGATATAGGAGATTTTGATGCAAAAGGTTATAAAGGAGAAGTTGCTGTAAAAGGTTATAAAGGAGAAGTTTCTGCAAAAGGTTATATAGGAGAGGTTTCAAAAGGTTATAAAGGAGAAGGTTCGAAAGGTTATAAAGACGAAGTTGCTGCAAAAGGTTATAGAGGAGAAGTTGCTGCAAAAGGTTATAGAGGAGAAGTTGCTGCAAAAGGTGATATAGGAGAAGTTGATGCAAAAGGTTATAAAGGAGAAGTTGATGCAAAAGGTTATAAAGGAGATGTTGCTGTAAAAGGTTATAAAGGAGAAGTTGCTGCAAAAGGTTATTAAGGCGACGTTGCTGCAAAAGGTAATAAAGGCGAAGTTGCTGCAAAAGGTT